TTTTATAAGTAATATAATATTATAAATCCAATGTTTTGAAAACCAACCGGGATACTGACCTGGATGACTGTTCGGGTCACCGCGTCGTTGTGTCGACCATGGGTGAACTGCGGGTTGATAAATGAATTAGATTTATAATATATTACTTATAAAAATAAATATATATAAACTAAAAATAATTATTTTCTATTTTTATTAAACATAAAATAATTTTTTGATATGTATATATAATATGTTCAAAAACATTTAGAAAATATTTAATTTTAGTTAATATATTTTCATTTGACATACAAAATATTAAAAATAGTTTAGATTAGTTTTAAAAAGTTGTAACAAGTTAAGATTTTTGACATCTAACAAAAAAGATCAAGACTTATAAATTCATAAATATTTATATATCTAATTTTAATAATAAAATTAAACTTCAAATCCAAAAAAAATCCACAGTAAAATCATTAATAAATTACTATAACAAAAAGAAGACAGCAATAAAACTGAAAGAAACTTAGTTTTTGATTGGAAATTTAGAATAAAAAAGAATCTAAAAATTAAAAAGTTAACAACTTGTGGAAGCCCCCTTGGTCTAGTGGTTTAACTAAGGGTTCATTAATGCTTCTACACCTGGAGGTATGGGGTTCAAAACCCAGAAAACACCAAATTATGCAGATAGTAGAGAAATAGGTTACAAGGGATCTTCAGCTTGGTACAGGGCGTACCACCGAACATGGATCTCATAGGACGGCTCGGAGGGCGTACCACCGAACATAGATCTCATAGGACGGCTCGGAATGATGCAATCAGGCGTGTATTCTCACATGATGGTAGAATTGTCAGCTGTAAAATCGTCTTTGTAATATTCTCATCGTTGTAATCTCTATAATATTATTTGAGAAGTCAGTTTCTTACGTGTCACGCTCATGTTAACTCTCGCGATGGTTGATTACATAGATACCCTTAATGAATTGTTAGATTTTAAGATTATTATTAATTTTTTATTTAGTTTCTTTTTACATTTTTCCAAATAACATATATAATAAAAAGGAAATATTTCTAAAATTTGAAAACAAATTAAAAAACGAAAATATATGTATATAATATGACTTTATTAAAAAGGAAAGTTCGCAAAATAGTAATACCCCCATTAATATATTTATTGCATTTTAAGCACAATATATATTAAGTTATACATAATTTAACTATAATATTTACATATCTAAGACAATAACCAACCGAAATGAAAATAAGAAAATTAATCAAAGTTTATTATATTTAGAATAGAAAATAGTATAGCTGAATTCAAAAAATAGATATTATCCAATATACCAAATTGATAACCAAACCGACTATTGATCCAAAAAATAAATAAAGAGATAATAATATATCTAAAGTCATATGTATAATTAGAATAACATAATATTTATTAATATAAATTATACATATAATTGATTTAAAACTAAAACTAAATATCAATCAATTATTATAAAATTTTACTTTTATGAATATTCATATCCGTGCATGTGCACGGGAAAATCACCTAGTAGCATAATTAATCAGACGTTAAAAAAAAGGTTAACAACATAATTTAAAACTTTTTTAAAAAAGAGTAAAACTTATTTAATCATTCAACCGGCGGTTCAACCGGCGGTTCAACCGGTACCTGATTTCGGGTTTTAGTGGGTTTTGTGGGTTTTAGAGGGTTTTAAATTTTGCGTTTTTCACAAAACTCAAACCAAATTTATTCTGAGTCATTGGATTTACCGGTTCAACCCACGATTCATCCATGGTCGACCCAATGACCCGGACAGTCATCCGGTTCAGTGTCCGTGTCGGTTTTCAAAACATTGGTTATTAGCTTCAAATAATAGTTTCTTCGGTTTATCGATTGAACCAACACAATCCTCAGTATATTCGTCGGTATTGTTACTACTCATATAGAATATCAATAAAGTAAATGTAATTTTATAGTAGTTAAATCTAAAAAGAATACAAAAGTGGAAGTGAAATGTTAATTCAAGTTTTTAAATTGTAAAACGAGAATAGAAACTGAACATAATATTTCGATATTCTATATATGGGAAATACATTTAATTTTGTCTACTTGCAAATTTATGAGTTCTTAACATAGTGATTGTATATTTAATACATGATTGTGCATATTTCCCAATTTTATTTTCCATTTTTTGCAAGTAGTTAATTTTTTCATAGACTTCTGACAGAAGCTTAGTCTCTTCACCACGCAAAAAATATGTAATAATGTTTATTGCTATGCATAAATGGTATAAATCATAGATATTCATTTAATGATTCAATACTGGAAATTCAAATTAGAAACTCACTATGATAGCCTCTTTTAATTTATTTTCACCAAAAAACACCCACACAAAAAAGAAATTAATCAAAACAAGTTTCATAAAAACGTAAATGTTTATTTATACCGCTAGGGTTAACTAATTTTAACTTAGAGTTTAGAGTTTAGTTATGGGGTTTGAAGGTTGGTTTAAAATTTTAAAACATAAATAAATAAATATTAAAAATTTTAAAAATTGAAAATAAAAATTTAAAAATAGTTTCAAAACGCATTTTCGAATGTCAAAAGATAAATTTGAAAAAAGGTTTCAAATTTACAAATAAAAAGTTATCAAAAACTTTGAATTTAAAAAAAAAAAAATTTAAAACTATAAATTAAAAAATATATATTTTTAGTATTTTTATTATCTATTTATATTTATATATCTACAAAGCAAGGAGTAGAAAATGTCTTTTGACTCTTTGATAAAACATTTTCTGGTCATTTTCCTCTCTCGATGTCTTTTGATGACAAAAATTTAAAAGAGACTATTTGAGGAATTTTCAAATATCTCTTATCCTCTATATATTAAAATAGAAACATATGACATTAATACATTTACACTATATTTGCTACGTGGCACATTACAGTGATTAAAAAAATGAGTACATTGACATATTACGTGTAAAGAGTTTCTCCGCTAAACTTTATAGAAATGTGTTTGTATTATGTATTACCTTACGTCTATTTTAATATAAAACTTACATGCAGTGTTCCACAGTTTATACAAAAGTTCGACACAGAAAGAAAATTTTCAAAAACCTCATTAATGTCTAAGCGTATTTTATTTTTAGTTAATTTTATTTTAAAAAAATTCATGTATTATTTTGAAAAAAAAATTCTTTTGATGTTAATTAATGGTATATTTATATATATTTATTAACCATTTTATATAGATTTATACACATACATGTGCACATTGACGTAAGAAACTATATAACTAAATATTCACCACAAATAAAAATTCTAATTCTTTTGGATGTTTGAATATTTTTTATTTTAATGCTTCTTTTCTCCATTGACCAAATTGTAATGAAATGATTTGTTTTAATCATTTCTTTTTCTTCATCTATAATCTAAATTTGATTTGATTTTTCCATGTATTTAGAAATTATAATATAACTTATTGGTTCAACATCAGGAATGTTTAAAATTCATATAAAATGAAACTAAACAAATAGTTATAGTTTTTGGTTATCACCGGAAAAACAACAACCTCAAACATTTTAACCGAATAAACCAAAATACATATGTATTTAGAATAGTAGTTATATCTTAGTAGATTAAAAACCGAAAAACAAACCTAAAACCCAACCGAAATCCATTTTAAACAGATATAATCTTATAATCATAAAAATAACAAAATTAATAATCTCATTCCGCGCAAGGCGCGGATTATTACCTAGTATATAGTAATCCTAAACCTTTAATTAATAGTTTAGACTTTAGACTCATTTATTGCCTCTTCATAATTCACATTAAATATATATAATAAGATATATATATATATATATATATATGTTCACTATATAACTAAGACGCCTGCAGCAAACAAGACTACTTGATGATATGCTAGTGTATAAACTGTATATACATGAAATTTGGAGAAGCAGATATTCTGTTTCATATTTATTCTGTATAAATAGTATAGGGCTTATTTGCCAACTAGCTATATTTTGAACACAAATTAGGTAAATAACATTGATTGTGACATAATTTAGTATCTAACATTTATACCATAAATTATCCGGTTATGTCCTTTAATTTTACAGTTACCAGGTAAAAAGTAGAAAAGAATAACGTGGCCAATAGAAGAAGGAGTCATCCACGCATACTTTTATTGACCACATATATATCTACTCAATGTTCTATTCTATATCACCGATATAGTATAGAATTATAACTTTATCTACAACCTTACATACTAAACATATCCAAATCCAATTCTTACATACTAATCATCAAATGAAACGATACATGATATGGTCACTAAACCCAAACCACAACCCCCACCTTCCAAATACTAAACCCTAAATACTAATCACTAAACCCTAAACCTAAATTGTAAATCCTAAACCCAAATAGAATGGAACAAAATAGAAAGAATAGTACATATTGGTGCACTCTTTATTAATGATCAAATGGAACAATAAATGATAGGTTCACTTAACCTAATCTTCAACCCCCACCTTCGAAATACTAAACCCTAAATCCTAATCACTAAACCCTAAACCCAAATGTAGACTTTATACCCAAATAGAATGGAACAAAATAGATAGAATAGTACATATTGGTGAGCAAAATAGAACACTCTTTATTAATCATCAAATGGAACGATACATGATAGGGTCACTAAACCCAATCCTCAACCCCACCTTCCAAATACTAAACCCTAAATCCTTATTACTAAACCCAAATATAGACCCTAAACCCAAATAGAATGGAACAAAATAGATAGAATAGTACATATTTGTGAGTAAAATAGAATGGAACATGATAATTACATTTCTATTTTATATGCATATAATAGAATAGATATATATGATACTTGACTCATACGTAAACAGTTTCTCTTTCAGATAATTGAAATACGAAAAGCTAAAGAAATAAGGACGGTGCTTCATCTAAATTTTCAATTAGTGAGATCCTTTTATCAAACAATATCGCTGAAATCAAATGGAGTTTCAGCAGCCAAAGCTGCAGGTTTCTGTTTCTTCAGATCAGATTCTATATCTGACAAAGACAGCTTCCGCTTCTTGACTTTCTCTTCAAGTGATCTGATTTGTGCCTTAATCTCCCGCTGTTTCTCCTCCTTCTGGAAAGCTTCGTCCAGTTTCTGACGCAACCAATGCAACTTTAAGCCTGCTTTTGTTAGATCCAAAATCGTACGGTCTGCTTTGTTTAGATCGTCCATTGTGAGATCCGTAGGAGGCTGGCACAGTGTTATAATTAAGTTGAGAAGAACACCCATGTATGCATTTCTAAGCTGTTGATTCTCTAAATTGAAATCTGATGCCATGTCTGGATGTTTTTCAAATATTGCCATTACTTGGGTTAACTGTGAAGCAAGAAATGAACAATCGTCGTTGTTTTATTTGTTTTACATTAATTAATATTGATACTAGAGTTTTATTTGTATAATTCATTGATTTATCACCTGAGAATCAAGAACCTGAAACCCATTGACTTCAACAATTTCATCAGCATGGTCAGATGATTTGGACCATTCTTTAGATGAAGATGAATATCTTTGTTCCTCATCGCTGGAGTCACTACTCACTGTATACTTCTCCATTAGGATTGCTTACCTTTAACTGTCTTAGCAGAGATGAATAGAGACCATAGAGGATTTATACAGAGCTGTCTTAGCTAAGAGATATCAGACTAATTATGATAATGATATCTTATCATAATAACAAGCTAATAAATGGTATAACTTATTTGTGGACAATAACTGGTATAATTAAACAAGCAATGTGTTATTAATGGTGTTCATCCAATTGAGTTACTTTACTTTTTGTGTATCTATCTTATTAAAACAGGATTCTACTTTTGGACAACATTTCTTTTGTAACTACTTTTGGACATAAGATTCCTTTTGTCAGTTTTTAAATATATTTTATTATAACAAAATCCTACTTTTGGACATAGCTTTTATTTTATAAGTCTTTAAATTAAATACACATTTCTACTTTATAATTAAACATACATTAAATCATTAATACTTCTTTCTTTACACTATTATCCATGTTTCCAAACAACACAATAGTGAATCTTGTGTCCAAACAATATAAAACATTACATCTCATAATTTTAATATTTTGTTTAACAATTTTCTTTCAAATTATTTTGTTAAATTAAATAATTATAATCAAATAATTTATAAAAACAAGAAAATAAATAGAAACTTATTTTGCAGGTTTAGATACTACAAAAACATTTCAATTAATAAATAAAAAATCAAATAATTTAACAGATTATTTGATTTATATTTCATAAATAATGGTTATACCATTTATTTAAGTAACATAATAATGTATACTAGCCATTACATAATATATATATATATATATATACTCTATACTTTAAAAACAACTATACTGTATAATAAATATAATAACATTTTTGTATAATAAATATCTATATTATTAAAACAGAATTCTACTTTTGGACATAGCATTTGTTTTGTAAGTTTTTAAATCAATTCTTTTAAAAGAATCCAACTTTTATGCTTTTGTAAGTTTTTAAATTAAATATACATGTCTACTTTATAATTAAACATACCTTAAATCATTATTATTTTTATCTTTATACTACTATCCATGTTTCCAAACAATACTATAGTTAACAATTTTCTTTCAAATTATTTTGATAAATTAAAGAATTGAAAAACAAATAATTTATAAAACAAGAAAATAAATAGAAATTTTTTTTTCAGGTTTAGATACTACAAAAACATTTCAGTCAATAACAAATCAAATAATTTAACAGATTATTTTATTAATATGTCATAAATATTAGTTATATCATTTATTTAAGTAACATAATAATTTATACTAGCCATTACATAAAATACACACACACACACATATATATATATATATATATACACTATACTTATAAAAATAACTATACTGTATAATAAATAAAATAATAAAAATAATTATGAAAATACTTAAAATATATATTATCTGCATGGTAAAGAAATGATGCAGAAAAAATCTTCGCTTGGACGCGCGGCTAGATTTGGCGGTTATGAAACGAACATGCCTATTACTGTTTATCTTCAGGACCGATTTAGGTAGAGGGACAAAAAGGCGTGACCAAGTTGCAAATACATTTTTTTTGTAAAAAAGGGGTCCATTTTAAAAAGAAAAAATTTAAGAATAAGGACCTAAATATCTTAAAATATCCATAAATATATGTAAAAAAATTGTTAAACTACTTGGTCCAAGGATCCTTGATATTATTGAGTCGGCCTTATTTACCTTTTCCATCAAGAAACAGACACGGACCCGGTGCAATAAAATAAACCTAGAGAGACCTCAGAAACATACAGACCTAAACACCTAGAGTCATAAGCTTCTCTAAACTTGAAAATGTTCGAAGAATTCTGATTCGTTCTCTCTCTCGAATATCAATTTGCCTAATGCAGGAAAAAAGCCTAGAGAGAGGAGAGAGAAGCGATTCTCCCTCTGGTCTCTCCCCGCCAGCCGTCAAACCCTAGAAACACCAAACCTCTTCTCCTCCAGTGACTGGGGGCTTCTCTACCTTCGGCCACCCCATTGTCTGTTTTCTGTCCCACCCGGCCTTTTCCCTTAGCTCCTCCTCCTCTACTCTCTTCTTCTTGTTCAGTTCTCTGGATTTCCGAGACTCGACGGATCTAATCTGAGACGCATGTGTGTGTTGTCTCTCTGGAGCACCGACGAGGAGAGGGTTCGTTGATGAGACTAAGGAGCTTTCGATTCAGCTTCTCCATGTCATACGGAGCAGATCTAGGTCAGATCTGACCTTGCCTCCGCCGGTGAGGATGGCGGTGCGTCGCTGCCTCCTCCGACCTCTCTAATCTTTGGCATGTACCCTTGTGTCTTTGGATTCAGCTTGTTTCAAGGTCTCAGTGAGCTTCTCCTCTCCGTCAGGAGAAACGGCGGTGTTTAGGCCCATCTCTCGGAGGACCTCTGTTCTAGTTCAACCAACGACTACCATGGTGTTCAATAGCGGCGATTCGGTGGCTCAACTCCTCGCTTCATGACATTGGTGATTAGGGTTTTGAGGATGACCCAAGCGCCGCGTCTACTGCTAAGAAACAGAGCCGTCGTCTTCCTGTAGCTGTGCCTACTTTTGAGGTGACTCGTGTCTCCTCATGTGCTTCAATCCCTTTTATAAACTCCGACGAAGTTTCTTTGAATCCCCTTGATGTCGCCGCCGTCTGTCGCGTGGCCGGATGAGGATCCAAAGACCGCCTTCGCTTGACCTGATTGGTTCTTCATTGTCATCGGGGCTTTGTCAGGGATTCTTTGTTTATCTTCTGTCGAGATAGCTCATGTCGGGTTACATGACGTCCTCCTCCTCTGGTGTACCGTGTTGATGTAAGATGTCTGCCCTGAAGTAGTCGCTGACATTGTTGCTGAAGGAGATGTTGTGTTGAGTGGTGAAAACCATGTGGAATCAAGATGCTGAGCTGGAGTCGTGTAGACTTGGAGAGCAAGGGTGTATCTTAGAGAAAAGGCAAGAGGAATAAACTTGAGGAGCAAGTTTATGACTTAAAGAAAGAGGAATAAGTGCATTTCAAGAAAAGGAAAGTTGCACTTAATGTTATGGAAGATGTCCATATTGTGTTCCTTGGAGACTAGGGTTTCGGGAAAGTGGAGAATAAGTATAAGATAGCAAGGGGGTCATCTGCAGAGAGACAGAGACACAGAGGCTGATCTTATAGAGAGAGAGAGAAGCTCTTAAGGTGTTCTTGGGTCGTGCTGAAGCAAAGGCTGAAGTACTTGACGACAGAGAGACATAAGTGAGTAGCTTAGGAATCTTTCAGTGACGTGTGTTAGGGTGTTAACACTAGACGTGTAAAGCAGATTAAGGAGATCTTGTAATAGAGTGTACAAGGCGATTTCTAATGAAGCTATTGGTGTGTTTGTCTCTTGATTTATTTTCTGCATTACCTTATTGTGGTGTCATCTTTTCACTTACAAGTGGTATCAGATCGGGGCACCTAAGTTATCGGTGTAATCCTGAAGGTGAAGATGGACACGATTGTTACTATGCAGAAGGCAATCATGTTGAATGCGGACCAGTATGGTCATTGGAAGGCTCGCATGAAGCAGATGATTCGAGGAATCAATGAAGATGCGTAGACAGCTGTGGAGATTGGTTGGGAGGAGCCTACCATAGTCACATGAGATGAGAAGAAGCCAAAGCCAAAAGAAGATTGGTCAGAGGCAGAGCGCAATACATGAAAATAAAATGCAAAGGCGTTGTCGGTGATTTTTGGAGCTGTTGAAGCAGAACAGTTTCAGCTGATTCAGGGGAGTACTTCAGCTAAAGAGGCGTGGGAGATCATGCTGAATTTGTTTGAGGGAGATGAGAGTATCAAGAGGACACGCCTAGACCATCTTGGGTCGCAGTTTGAGAATCTCAGATGGTGTGATGTTGATTTTGTGGCGAGCTTTAGTGCCAAACTCAGTGCTATGGCGTATGAAGCATTTGTACTTGGGAAGAAGTACAAGGAGAAGAAGATGGTAAAGAAGTTACTACGCTGTCTTCCAAAGAAGTTTGAAGCTCACAAGGCAGTCTTGCAGATGACTACAAACACGGATGAGCTCAAGTTTGATAAGCTTGTGGGTATGCTGAAGACACAAGAGATGGAGACAGACAGTAGTTCAATCTCTACGTCAAGCAGTGCGCTAGGGAGTATAGCGCTTGCAGCTGACAAAGATGGTGATAGATTTCAGAAGCTTGAAGATACTGTGGGTATGTTGGCTAGGAATTTTGGTAGGAAGATTCACTCTGGTGGCGGAAATCAGTATGATCGTCAAGGAAGTGATCGTGGTAATGGTAGAAGAAGAGACTCTATCAAGTGCTACGAGTGCGAAGGAGTTGGTTGTGAGGGCTGACTGTCATGTGGCACAACGAAAGGAACTTAAGTGTTCTGAGTGCAGAGGTGTTGGACACACAAGGTGTGAATGTCCAAACTCAAAGAAGGGAAAAGAAGCTTAGTCGTCTAATGATTCAGAGTCTGAAGTAGATGAAAAGGTGTTGAAGAACATGGTTGCATTTGATGCACGCAAGGAGGGATCTAGTGAATCCTCAAATTCAGATCACAATACAGATGATGAGGAGTACCACGTGTTGTTCAACAAGTGGTTGAGGGTCAGGGATCAGAATCTGAGATTGGAGAGTGTGGCTCAGAAGCAAAATGAGTTGATTGAAGAACTTCATGAAGAACTTGCGGCTGTAGAAGAGAAGAATGAGTCTCTTGAAGAGGAAGTTAGCAAGCTGAGAAGAGTTGCTACTGGTGAACAAGAAAGAGCAAGGAAGCTGGAACGTGATTTGGCTGAGAATCACAAACAAATCAGAATGCTCAATAGTGGATCCAAGGAGTTGGATAAGATACTATCAATGGGACAATCAGCCAAGGCGAATTGGGGACTGGGATACCGAGGAGCTGAGAGTACTAGAGTACATCAGAAGGGGATGTCACACTTTGTGCATGGGAGCACATCGAAAAGTGGAACCAAGGAAGCTTGTCAGGAAGTGCATCAGGACGTACGACAAGGAATACGGTAGGAAGTT